GTGCTAGGAATTATGTTTGACACAAAATTACTGTACATATCACTACTAAATACCAGGAAAATACTAATAAATACTAATGAGACATCAGAAAGTGGAGAAAGAGATGCAATTCATGTATTCTTACTCTGTACCAAACCTCCAAGTACATAATGTCATCGATGGGATAATATATTATATATTTTCTATAGCATTTGCTCATATCAGTATTTTACCTTTCTCAGGCAGTAACTTTTCACAAATGTTATTAAAAAGCTGCACATCTAGATGAATAAATTATGTTTACTAAGAGTATAATTATAATCAACTTAACCATAAATACTGAATGTTTAAAATTTATTGAGCTCTATCATAAAAGTATGATCAATAACATATCTGATACAGTTAATTGAAAAATATGTCACAAGATCAATATTCTTTTACAAAGAAAGTGTAATCCCAAGTATAACAATAGTTAAATATTCTTTTCCTTCCTTCAGGACACAATGCCTTCACCATGCTTGTCACCAGAGCTCTACAATTCAGTGGAAGCCATACTTTCTGCAAGCATCAATGTTCCAGTGAAAGAGAGATCTTTAATTCAAAAATTAGCATATAAGAAAATTAGCAAATATAAACTTTGTCTCAAAGATATTCACAACCCAGTTTCTGGTGAAAAAGGAAAGAGAATCCTTTCACTGGGTAAAATTGTCCCCAAAACTGATGAAATAGAGAATATTGTAGAAGCATTTTGTCCCAAGATAAAAGCAACAAAAACCTTTCCACATCAATAAGAAATCGGATGTATGATGAGTCGAATGTATGATTCCTACTACATCATCAGCATGTGTTTGTATGTGTTCAGGGGCGGTGGGGTAGCCTAGTGGTTAAAGCGTTGGCTCGTCACGCCGAAGACCCGGGTTCGATTCCCCACATGGGCACAATGTGTTAAGCCCATTTCTGGTGTCCCCCGCCGTGATATTGCTGGAATATTGCTAAAAGCGGCGTTAAACTAAACTCAGTCAGTCAGTCAGTGTATGTGTTCATGAATCATCATCAAATAGTGATGATACCAGAGGTGAAAAGGTGAGCAGTGGCACCCATCAAAAATACTTATGAAGGCAAGTCTCACCTGTTACAACATGGGAACATATGACAAAAGTCAAAATAGGTATTTGCATTTGACACAATATTTTCACTGCTAGCATATTAAAGGAATCCTTTAATGAAGAGGATATTTTCAAAAATAAACGTAATTTTCATAATTTCAGGACGAGCGTTCACATAGAGTGTGGAAGGACTGTTTGCGGTATGACCTTCAGCACCTGGATGATATCTCCTGGGTAGACAGTCTTCCTGACTATTGCCGCATTCACAATGAATCGGTCAACTGAGCAATTGGTAAGATATTTAAGAGCGAAGAAAATGGCCCTGATCATGGCATTATCTCATCCCACAAAAATACTCTGAAAATAAGTCCTGATGAGTGTTGCATTGCACAGTCCCACTACTGGTCTACCTGTAACATTTTGTAACAAGTCCATGCTGATACAAGCTGTTTTTGTCTGTGGTTTGTTCTAAGTGTTTTCTGGGATACTGTGCATTATATATTGTAGGTTGCAGTCCTTACAGAGCCATGTTTGGATTCCATCCACACCATATCACCAGGCTGTTGAAAGCAGGAGGGAAAAGTATGGATGGATACACATGTGAAGGCAATGCTGAATATGAAACTGTTGAAGAACATTCTCAGGTGACTGGAATTGTATTGCATATGGTATGGTATATGATATGGTATGATATGGCATGGTATGGTATAGTAGGGTGTTATATGTGATATGGTATGGTATAGTAGGGTGTTGTATGTGGTATGGTTTGATATGGTATGACATGGTATATGGTATGGTATAGTAGGGTGTTGTATGTGGTATGGTATGGTATAGTAGGGTGTTGTATGTGGTATGGTATGATATGGTATGACATGTGATATGGTATGGCATATGGTATGGTATACCATATGGTATGATATGATATGGTATGGCATTACATATGGTATGGTATGGCATATGATATGGTATAAGGTATGGCATATGGTATGGTATGACATATGAGATGGTATGGTATGCTAGGGCATTGCATTTTGTATGGTATGGTATGGCATATGATAGGCTATGGCATATGATATGGCATGACATATGATATGGTATGCTATGGTATGGTATAGTAGTGGCATTGTAGGAGGTATGGTATGACATATCATATGGTATGACATATCATATGGTATAGTATGGCATATGATATGGTATGGTATGATAAGGCATGGCATATGGTATGGTATGGCAGGACATATGATATGATAATGTATGGCATATGATATGGTATGATATATGGTATGGTATTGAAAATGGTATAAGGTATGGTATGGTATGGCATATGATATGGTGTGGCATGACATATGATATGGTATGGTGTGATATATTGTATGGTATGGTAGGGCATTACATGTTGTATAGTGAGGCATATATGGTATGGTATATGGTATGACTTATGATATGGTATGGTATGGTATGACATTGTATGTGGTATGGTATGGTATGATATGGTATGACATGTGATATGGTATGGCATACGGTATGGTATTGCATATGGTATGGTATTGTACTATATGCTGTGATATGATATGGCATTGCATTGCATATGGTATGGTATGGCATATGACATGGTATGATAAGGCATGGCATATGGTATGGTATGACATGAGATGGTATGGCATATGATATGGGATAATATGGCATGGTGTGGTGTATGGTATATGGTATGGTATGGCAAATGATAGGCTATGGCATATGGTATGGCATGACATATGATATGGTATGGCATATGCTATGTGATATGATATGGCGTGGTATATGGTATGCTATGGTATGGTATAGTAGGGCATTGTAGGAGGTTTGGTATGATATATGATATGGTATGGCATATGATATAGTATTGTATAGGGTATGGTATGATATGGTATGGTATTGCATTGCAGTATAGTATGGCATATGATTTGGTATGGTATGATATGGTATGGTATACAGTATGGTATGGTAGGGCATTGCATGTGGTTTGGTATGGTATGGCATATGCTAGGCTATGGCATATGGTATGGCATATGCTGTGATATGATATGGCATGGTATATGGTATGGTATTATAGGGCATTGTAGGAGGTATGGTATGACATATGATATGGTATAGCATATGGTATGGTGTTGCATATGGTATAGTATGGCATATGATAAGGTATGGCATTTGGTATGGTATGGCAGGACATATGATATAATGTATGGCGTATGATATGGTGTGGTATAATATATGGTATGTTATGGTATGGTATGACATATGGTATACTATATGGTATACTATACTATATGGTATGGTATTGTATATGGTATGGTATATGGTATACTATATGGTATGGTGTATGGTATGGCATATGGTATGGTTTATGGTATGGTATATGATATATGGTACATGGTATGGTATGGCATGGCATGACATTGCATATGGAGTGTTATGGTACGGCATATGATATGATATGGTTATGGCATATGGTATGGTATATGGAATGGCATGGTATGCTATGGCATCTGATATGGTATGGTACGATATGATATGATATGATATGGTATTGCAAATGGTATGGGAAGGTATGACATGTGTGATATGGTATGGTAGATGGTATGGTATGGTTTGGCATATGATATGGTATATGTTATCTGGTATGGTATGGTATGGATGCATGTATGGTCTTATAATTTTATTTTTTTTATTAGGTTAGTGAAGGGACCCTTAGCAGATTGAAAGAACTGCAAGATATCAGGAGAGAAGTCCTGATAAAATAGACAAATCTTCATCGAAAAAGGTGGATAAACATTTGAAGACCAATCCCCCATCTCAGTATGCAGGGGGGGAGATTGTCCTTGTTCGTCATCTGGGCAAGCACAAAGGAGTAACCAGGGCTGGGCAGAAGATCACCTCTCCAGCTGTTGAGGGGGAGATTTTGCAAGTAGACAACAAGCTCCACAAATACAAGGTGCGGATTGGAAAAAAAGTTTCATGATGATCTGTTTGCCAGATTACAGCATTAACAAGGCCAAAGGAAGGAGAAAAGAGAAGGCAAAGTAGACATACAGGTGCAGTCTGTTAGGGTCATATGTTCAAAGACTGCTAGTATACGTGTCACCATATGCTTTAAACTTTCACAAAACATTATGTTATTAAGTAGTTAGCACATAAATACATAACCTTAATGCTCAAGAGATTAATTTTGCTAACATTTCAGCATTTCACAAACTTTTTGTTTACTTTAATATGTACATAGATGCTCAGTCATGCTGACCAAATATGCTTTTTGGACTATATAGGATAATCTGTTTTGTTAATTGGAAGCATGCAGTTACTACTATCCTTGTTTGAGTTTCCACATGTATGTTATCACTTACATAAATACATATGTGTGAGTTACAAATTTATGCAGCATCAGCATTACTTCAGCCACGTGGTGACGAGACTAAGTTAACACATACACAATATCAAACTCATATACCAATATTAACATCACAATGTTATATATTTACAATTTAGAACACTGGCTATCAGTTTCCTTCAAGTACTTTATTATTAGATGTCAGCTCACACAGGTAAACAGAAGGAACTTATTTGATGCGTGTCTGAACACAGGTAAAGGAAGCAAATCCAACATTTACCACTGTAAGTTGCAAGCAAGAAAGGAAAGAAAATCTGAAGAATTTTTGTTTGCCCATGTGCTTCTGTCTTATTACCAGTTCTGAAATTTGACATATATTTTCAGATATCTACATGAATGTCAGGGCACTACAAAAACAATTGATGACCCCAACAGCACTATCTTATGACCATCTTCTCCAGAAATTAGAAGACTTGGCAAGGGGAAGGGGCCGTGTAGTGAAACACAACTCAGGTGGAGGAAACTGCATGTTTCTGTCCCTGAGTGTGACCAGATTTATCATGTGCTTAACTTGGAAATGAATGCTCTGGAGGTTAGGGACAACATTGTGGAGCATCTGAGGACACACCCAAATACAGTAAGCCAGCATTGAAACTTGTTTTTGTAGAAAACAAATAAGACTATTACTTAATTATATACACAGTGGTTTTGTATGACATGTTATCTTACCTTGAGAGAGTAAGTCTGGTTTAACATCATGACATATGACCTGGGGACACTAGACATGGGCTTCACCCATTTACCAATGATAATAACAGAATCTAGATTTGAGGCTTGTAGTAATGAATGCTTTAAACACTATGCTGCCCAATCACACTATAGTATTAAACCAACTTGGTTGACTTTTCAAATAATAATTAATGATACATTTTGTACATGCAGATCGATGGAACACCACTGGATCAGTTTGTCTGCACACAGCAGTCATGGGAAGATTACCTTTCAACCATGGAGGCCCCTGGCACCTGGGGTGATCACCTAGTTCTCCTGGGTGCTGCAGAGTTCCTCCAAGCTGACACTGAGGTAATCACAACAGCATCAGAAACACACCCAGTCACGATCAAGGCAGTGAATAGACAAGATAAAACCAAGGAGCTATTCCTGGGACATATCTCTGAGTTCCATTATGTGAGCCTGAATGAACTAGGTAAGTACAAATGAATAGATTAACCACACCATAAACAATTATTTTCAAATGATATGAATTACACCAGCAGATGAGTAAACAAGTGGTTGACAGCTATGATCAACAATGTACAAATACCATCAGATCATGAATTACTGAGGACTTCTTTTTATTCACCATAGTTAGGCAAACGATTCAATGTAAATACATGTCTTTGACAAGTACAATGGTGGCCAGTTCAGGTACCTGTTACTCTGTATGTGTAATTGATTACTAATATTGCATAATATATCATTAAATGTGCAAGTGTCTATGGTTTGGAATATCATAAATACTTTGGAATATTAATTAGGAATTAATATATAGTTAATTAGTCTTAATATCGGCCTTGATTTGCTCAAATATCTTCATTTTCTCAGGACAAATTTGCAGGGATTGTCACTTGGAGTTGTCGGTGTGCCAATGCGTGGACAACATTAATGGTGAGACTCTGTTAATGGTACTTTGTATTAATGTCCCTCTTCAACCCTTACAGTGCAAGAGAACTGTTGTAGTGACAGTACATAGAGATACCTGTATGTGGTATAATGTGTTAAATCACTGAACACAGACCGTCCCAAAGACTTTCCCTGTCAGTACACATATTAGCATCTACTATATTAGCACCATTATTGTTAGAAGCATGTATTTCTTCTACAATCATCATCATGGATAAAGTTAATTCATTGTAACCATGGCAGCTGGTTCATTCATATTATTTGGTTTTCTTTTTTATTCTTTTGCTGTAAAATGTAGGTTATGAAACATTATTATGAATGTACCAGTATTTATCTTCCCTGCAACTGTTAACATACTATGTCATCTTTACTTCCATTCACCCAGCAACTAACACAATATCATCCCCACCTAGTTATGGTAGTGAAGAGGACACAGGTGAGGATACCTTAGATGTGCATCAAACACATTCGTTATTGCTGAGGATAAAGTTAGAGATGAAATAGAAAAAGACTGATTGACCATAAAGCAGACACCAATGATTTGCTTGTCACAAGAAGCACTGACGGATCGGGTGGTTTCAGGCTCGATGGCTTGGTAGTCAGACATATGTCATTGTATCCTGGTTGGGCAGATCTTATACTTATGTTGATGATCACTGAGTTCAGACTTGAATATTTACAGACCACCAACATATGGCTAGAATATTGCTGAGTGCAGCATTAAACAACAAACAAACATTCAATGTGTACTTCTCCTTACAGTATGCACAGAGAGGGCGCAGGAGGCACACAATGCTTCTGCAGATATCCCAGATTAGACGGGAAGGTAGCTTTTATAGCAAGTTACATACCAGCAGAGGTAATAAAGTAGTAAATGATACAGTGCTTAAATGATGATGTTAATTTAATGTTGGCAATTTGAGAGTTTCTTCATACCACTTGGGTGTAAGCATTTGATGATATTGAAATAATGAAAAGACTCCAAACAGACACCTATCCACTCAAATGCCTACACCTACTCCATCCACAACTACACCCATAGACCATACTTACCTACAATCACACCTATCCAGACCTATGTTACACCTAGCCATGGGGTTCATACAACCACACTCTATCCAGAATTCCATGCCTACACCTATCCATATCACAAACTACATCAATATCCTATCCAGACCTATGCTCACACCTATGCCATATCCACAGACCTATGCCCACACCTATCCAGACCTATGCCTATGCTCATTACCTACATTCCACACCTATCTAGACCTATGTCACACCTATGCCTACATCCACAGACCTATGCCCACATCTCATTCCAGAACCCATGCCTATGCCTACATATCCACACCTATCCAGACCTATGCCTTATGCCTACACTCCACATAATACTCATTCAGACTCCATGCCCACAATTCCACATCCACACCTATCCAGACCATGCCTACACTCCACATTCATTACCTATTCAGGACCATGCCTACATCCACACTCCATTCAGACCATGCCCACACTCCATGCCCACATCCACAGACCTATGCTCACCTATCTAGACCTATGCCTACACCCACATTCACACCTATCTAGACTCATGCTCATATCTATTCACAACCACACTCATATCTGCCTAGCTACAACTACAACCATACCTATCCAGACTCCATGCTCATGCTCACACCTACAATTCCATCTCAGACCAATGCCTACACCATTCATATCGATAACTACAAATCCACTCTTATCTTAGACCTATATGCCTATGCTTCCACACCTACACTCCATTCAGACCTATGCCTACACCTATCCAATCGACAACCACATCAACACCTATATCCAGACCTATGCCACCTTATGCCTACATATCCACACCTTATCCAGACCCATGCTCACATTCCACACCTATCCAGACCCATGCCCACACCTATGCCTACATCCACAACCACATCCACACTCATCTGTGACCCATGCCTACACCTATTCACAACTACATATCTCACACCCAGCCACAACCACAACTACATCCAGCTACAACTAAAATTCACACCTTAGGACTCCATGCCACAATTTACAACCACATATCTCATATCCACACCTGTGCCACACATCCACATATCCACACCCATTCTAGACCTATGCCTACACTTCTATTCACAACTACACCGCCCAGTAGCCTCACTCCAGCTACATCACAACATCCACACTATCCAGACCCATGCTCACACTCCACATTCCACACTCCACCCCAGACCTATGCCTAGACTCTTATTCACAACCACACCCATATCCACACACCAGCCACAACCACACACCTATCCAGACCTATGCCCACACACCTACACCTATCCACAACCACACCCACACCCATTCTACACCATGCCCACACCATCTAGACCCTGCTCACACTCCATTCAATATCCATCCAGACCACTTACACCTATCCACACATCCCACTCATGCCCACACCATCCATCCGCTTCCAATATCCACACTCCCATCCAGACCTATCCATCCATTTGTATTCCCTATGCCCACACCTATCCATATCCATCTAGACCATGCCTATCCAGACCCATGCCTACACCCATCCAGACCTATGCCATCCATCTAGACCCATGACCTCTAGTCCAGACCTATGCCCACAATCCCTGCCCATCCAGACCCATGCTCTACAACCACATCCCACCTATATGACCCATGCCCACACTCCATCCACATCCATCCTCCATGCCCACACACCCATCCACTTCCACATCCACACCCATCCAGACCCATGGCCACCTATCCAGACCCAAGTGCCCACACCTCCATCCACTTCTGCATCTCAAATTCCATCCACTTCCACATCCACACCCATCCATGCCACCAATGCACACATCCATCCACACCCACACCCATCCACTTCCAAACTCCATATCCAGACCCATGTCCAGTGCCCACAACTTCACCCATCCAGACCCATGCCACACCCCATTCCACTTTCCTGCCCACAACCTCACCTACCCAGACCCATGCCCACCCATCACACCTCACCTTATCCAGACCCATGCCCACAACCTCACCCATCCAGACCCATGCCCACAACCTCACCTATCCAGACCCATGCCCACACCCACACCCATCCCACCTTCCCAGAACCTCACCCATACAGACCCATGCCCACAACCTTCCACCCAGTGCCTACACCCATCCACTTCCACACCCTCACCCATCCGGCCCACCCCATCACTTCCCACACCTCACCCATGCCAGGCCCACACCCACACCCATCCGCATCACCCACACCCACATCCACACCCACCCATGCCCACACCACCAATCCACACCCACATCCACAACCACACCCATCCAGAGCCATGCCCACACCCATCCAATGCACCACACCCACATCCATGCCCACACCACGTCTATATCCACATCCGCCATCCAGATTCCACACACCTATCTACAACTACACTATATCCACAATACCTATCTACAACTACACCCACACTATAGACCATGACACCTTACACCTATCCAAATTATTCATAGGCTCCACACCTATCCAGACTCATGCCTACAATTCCAACCTCTATCCATATCTACATACCTATGTGACCCACACTCTATCTCACACCACACCTATATCCACATTCCATTTCCTATGGCTCACAATTCAACACCCATCCACATCCACAACCACACTCCATCCGGCTATGTGCCATGCTCACAATCTACATACCTATCCACACTCTACAATTTATCCAGACCTTATGCCCACACCCACAGCTATCCACACTCACACTCTATCCAGACCCATCCGCCCCACAATTTTATTCACAACTACACCTATCCAGACCCACATGTCTGACCCATGTCCGCTCCACACACCGACACCTATCCACTTTCACAACTCACTCCATCGTGACCTATGCTCACAACTCTTCACCTTTCCGGCCTACACAACTCACCTATCCAGACTGATGCCCACACCCAACTCTCCACATCCATACCTCCATCCACTTCCACATCTGCATCCTATCCAGAATTTGTCAGACCTATGCCCACAACCTCACCTATCCAGACCCATGCCCACAACTCCTATCCTGTGACCTATGCTCCACAACCTCACCATCCAGACCCATGCCCATACCTACCCCATCCCACTTTCCAGAACTCGCCCTATCCAGACCTATGCTCTACAACTCACTCCATCTATGCCCACACTCCCATGCCCACAACCTCACCCATCCAGACCCATGCCCACACCCAACCCCATCCACATCCACACCCATGCACACATCCACACCCATCCAGAGCCATGCCCACACCCATCCACAACCACACCCACATCCATGCCCACACCAACACCCATCCACATCCACAACCACACCCATCCAGAGCCATCCCACACCCATCCAGACCCATGCCCACACCACACCCATCCACACCTACACCCATCCAGACCCATGCCCACACCACACCCATCCACACCCACACTCATCCAGACCCATGCCCACACCTATTCACAACCACACCCATCCAGACCCATGCCCACAACCATCCAGACCCATGCCCACACCCACACCCATCCACAACCATACCCACACCCATCCACAACCACACCCATCCAGACCCATGCCCATGCCCACACCTATTCACAACCACACCCATCCAGACCCATGCCCACAACCATCCAGACCCATGCCCACACCTTCACCCATCCACAACCACATCCACACCCATTAAGACCCATGCTCACACCCACACCCACACTCACACTCACACCCATCCACAACCACACCAATCCAGACCCATTCCCACACCCACACCCATCCACAATTTCACACCCACACCACACCACACCCACACCCACACCCACAAATGAACATATACATGTTTCATGAGAATGTTTGAATTTTGAATCCGCAGCTCTATGGACACCTCCTGAAGTGGCTTGAAACCAACTTTACACGTCGTATCCCAAAAGACAAAAGGTTAGTTATTATCCAGTGACAACAACATACAGTAATCAGTATATAATGAATGTGCTTTGCTTGATCCTGTTCTTGCCAAGATGAGTTTCAATACATATCCTACTGTTGTTATGAATTGTCTTCATGAAAAATGTTAACTTCATCAATTTATATTTCATTAATTCATTCACTGATTCATTCATTAAAGTTAAACATGACATTAATGCAATTTGAAGACATGTACTACTACTATCAAGAACCAGTATATTTCAGCTGCCCCTACACCAGCTCACTGACCACTGTCTTGGATGTGCACAATGTGGACGACAAACTCAAAGAACTGACTCTGCAGTATATGTGGTAATATATATTCACAATTTGTTTCTCTCATGTCAATTTTATAAAACAGTGGTTAGAGGGCATTTTCTTCAGAATGTTTTTTTATGTAGCTACCTAATGCAAACATGGTATGTTGAGAGTGCTCTGAAATGGAGTCTTAGAGAGAGAGAGAGACAGAGACAGAGAGAGACAAAGAGAGTGAGAGAGAGAGAGAGACAGAGAGAGAGTATCTACAAAGTGTTGTACAGCATGGTTTAAATCTACTGAAGTACGATTTTCTCAGTTTACTTTAAATTCATTTTCAATTTTGTTTTGTTTTCTGCATTATGGAGGAGCATTGTTATTGGACAGATGCCATTGACCAGAAATGAGATAAGCAGCCTTTAAAACCTTGGAATGTACTGGGTCAATAATTCAAATTTTCAGAGATTTTTAACTATTACCGGTATTATTAATCAAGTGCCTTTGACCAGAGGTGGGATAATGCCTTTAAAACCTACAGTTTATGGATTTTCAAGAAGTTTTCTTGGCTGATGATAGGAAATAGCATTTCAAACCTTCAAGTAAATTATGAATATACTGTGTCAATAATTCAAATTTTCAGAGATTTTTAACTATTATTATTAATCACGTGCATTTGACCAGAAGTGGGATAATGCCTTTCAAACCTACAGTTTAAGGAATTTCATGATGCTATCTGGGCTGATGATGGTAAATAGCATTTCAAACTTACAAGCAAATTATGAATGTACTGGGTCACTAATTCAAATGTTCAGAGATTTTTACCTATTATTATTAATCACATACATTTGACCAGAAGGGGGATAATGCCTTTAAAACCTACAGTTTAAAGAATTTCAAGATGTTATATGGCCTGATGATAGTAAATAGTATTTCAAACTTACAAGCACATTATGAATGTACTGGGTCAATAATACAGATTTTCAGAGATTTTTATCTATTATTATTAATCACGTGCCTTTGACCAGATGTGGGATAATGCCTTTAAAATCTCAGTTTATGGAATTTGAAGCTTTACCTTTGGACTGATGATATTAAATGGTATTTCAAACCTGTGAGCAAATTATGAATGTACTGGGTCAATAGTTCAAATTTTCAGAGATTTTTAACTATTATTATCAATCACGTGCCTTTGAGCAGAAGTAGGATAATGTCTTTAAACCTACAGTTTATACAATTTCAAAATGGTATCTTGGCTGATGATATTGAATAACATTTCAAACCTGTGAGCAAATTATGAATGTATTGGGTCAATAGTTCTTATTTTCAGAGACTTTTAACTGTTATCATGAATGACATACCCTTTGCCCAAAGTGGGATAAAGCCTTTAAAACTTACAGTTTATGGAATTTCAAGATTTCCTCTGAGCTTATAGTGGTAAATAACAATTCCAACTTGTCAGCAAATTCTGAATGAAATAATAGTATAGCATTAATAATGAAATAGTAATAACGATACTCACATGTCCTTAACCAAGAGTGGGAATATGCCTTAAAAATCTACAGTTTGATGTAATGTATGAGAAGGGTTGATTGTTAGCACACTATTAATGTATTAGTGATTTGCATGTAGTAACCTTTAGTATTTTTAGGGAAACAGTGATTGAGCAATGTTTGATTTGTGTCTAAACTGTGTGGTGTGTGATGCCCTGGAAGGGTGATAGTTATTTGACTCAAGCTGAATGGGTGTGAGTGTGTAAACTGTTAGGTTCATGTTATATCTATCTGGTAAAGTTATTATGGCATTCTTATTCCTTGTTGTGACAATATCTGCTTGAGTAAAGTTGACTAAAACATTACAGTTATCAAATCTAAAGATTCCTCTTGGCTGTTGATAGTATTTAGTCATATGTGAAACTTGTGAAACAGAGTCTACATGCAACAGGTCAATATTGCCATTGTTTAGAGATTTTTAAACTATTTTTTACTATTCATATGCCCTTAATTAGATAAAGGAAAACAACTTTAAAATCTGATGATAGTAGATCATATTTCAGACATGTAGAAAGCAGACTATGAAAGCAAGTAGGCCATTAATTAGTTCAACTTTAAGAGAGTTAACTTGATTTAATCCTGTATGCCTTTGACCAGGAGAGGGATAATGTCTCCTAAGTCTAATACTAACAGAATAATCTGACATTGAAAAATTGTGGGCTGAATCTTGAACAGGACAATATCTCTTATTTTAAGAGAATCTGTACAATATTAGTATAATACATACAGATTCAACCAGAAGAGGGATAACACCATAAAATTACAATCAATGGAATCTTCTGATTTCATTTTGGCTGCTCATAGCAAATCACACTTCATATTTAAGAGCACACTGGGCTGATCTACAGTACTAATTTTAAGAGATTTGTTTAATAGTATTACTTATATTCTCTCAGCCAAAAGTGCTTGAAGTGGAACAAGTTTAAAATCTATATTTTAATGGAATTTATTATTTTCTTTGGGGTTCTTATACTTCATACTTATTGGCAAAATCTAAAAGTAGTGGGGCAATATTGCATGTTTTAATTTCCTTGACTAAATTTATCACACAAATTCCCTAATCCAAAGCTGGCATAAATTGTTTTTGCTTGTTTGTTGTTTGTTGCTACACAATATTCTAGCTACATGATATCTGTAAATAACTGAGTTTGTACCAGACTATCCAGTTATTGAGATCATAAGCATCCACACATGCAATCATTGAGGCTTGATACTAGACAATGACTTTTTTAAGTCATTGAGCCTGACAACCATATCCACATCAGGTAACATTGGTTTCTGGGGAAAATTACACACAAAACAGTAAATATGTAGGCATCATTTACCTTGACAGTTTCATCTCAGTAACAATATGTCATCAAACAAACTTCAGCTGCTTGGCCTTCTAACACAATGAGCAGATGACCCTTTCAAGCAAATTGTGAAGGGGGGACAACTCTAACTGCTAATTAGTTCAGCAAATATAATGTTATTGATGACAATGCATGGGATAACAAGTTCAAGCTGCTATGAAGGGCTCAGTGAATTTCCCATTTATATCAAGCTGACCAGGAAGGGGATTTTCAAAGGAACATTAAAGAAATGTTTTTGGATAATTTTTACACCATCATTTTTCTTCAAACTTATAACTATAGCCTTCTGAGATCGGGCACAAACTCTCCCACTTTTTTTCATTCTGAAGTAATTATGCCTTGTATGTCTGGTGTCTGTTACAAACAGCTTCCATGTACACAATAATGATGAAAGCTATAAACTCCATTACTTGGAGGCTAAACATGTTATTAAAAAGATGACCATGTGAACTTTTGGGGATGAGAAATTTAACTGGACCTTTAACTCAGGATTATCAGCATAGTATTATGTGTGATGGTGTGTTACTGAATACACCCTACCATTATAAAAATAGATCACCACTCTTTTTACAGTGTCATGAATGTGTACATGAACCTGAATATTTTTCGAGTATTTCATAAGAAATATTCTCTGAAAAGTATGACCAAGCAACATACCAATCTCTTATATACTCTCACAAATAGCATAACACAAATAACTTAGAAGTCTTAAATCCCCAAAACAAACTTGAATTGTAATACTTACATACCCATCAAAAATGGATGTAACATCATTAAAAAAATAATTATGACATAATTTAATTTTCTTTTATTCCCCGTTCTTACTTTAAAAGAAACTATTTACTGTATTATTAAATAAAACACTGTGCAAAAATGGCCAGGCTTGCCGATATTTAGATACAACTTACTATATTTTTACAAATATTAGCATAATTATTAAACTATAAAATAAAAATCCAATACCATTCACATCATATATTTTCTGGTTCTATTTGTGGGCATAAACATATATTGTTAAAAGGAATAATCCATCGTCTTACTGAACACCGAGTTGTTTATGAGCTTGTACAGTTTTTTCTCAAAATCAATGTTGGCCCGCTTTCGTAAATCCATTGTAAAAAAAAATCATTCTAATGTATGTAGGGCTCCATCCACGGACTTTGGTCAAACTTGAGCACCCTATGAATTTTCGTGAGTTTCATTCCCAGCGACAAGTACAGTTGCAGGTTGCGATAGTGAACGATATATTTTTTCTTATTCATCAAGTTGGGTACGAGTTTTTCAACGTTAGCCGGCTTATTTTTCTCCAGCAACGTTTGTTGATATCCAGACATCCAATCTGGGTTAACTGTCAAACGATCGGGAGCGAGTGGATAGCTGTTGTGTGATTTGTGTAATTCCACGGGATATTCCAAGTCCACTTCGAGTATAGCCTTTTTTCGAATCTGGCATGATGCTCATGACGTCGATCATCTCGGATGTCCACTCGAATCCCCCGGTGGGTAGATACTGGCTCATGGCCCAGCCGTACAGGTTGTTGGCGTCGAGATAGAGGATATGGGTGGTGGTGTGATTCGGGTTATAGTTTTTCACGTACTTGTTGTTGGCTTTCGCGTAGCGTTTGGAGACCATGGAAATCCCACCTCGCAATCCTTTTTCGATGAACAGGTGCATGTCATAATCCGTCAATAGTTTGAGTTCCACACCAGTCTTTTTCAACAAGGCATCCCAAGAGAGACCCGGGGAGGAGAAATACCAAGTACAGGTCGTGGTAATCACCCAGATTCTTGCAGCCCAGTTTGTCCCATAGATTAATCGCATGCGAGTAATCGTCCTGGGTGATGGCCGAGTCGGTCAAGTTGCTGTAGAATCGGTTGATGGGAGGCAGTCATGCCTCGTTGAACTTGACCCAGCTGTCCATGTATTCATAGGGGTAAACGCCCTTCCTCATCAGCAGAGGTCGAGTCTCGGCGTCGGTGTACCGATTGGTGATGTGGAAGTCGTTCGGGTCATTGGCCATGACCAAACTATCGAGAGGCGACAGCAGGAATTGAATGCTGTCGATGAATCTAAGACCGTTTAATGAGAAGGAGATGTATTTTTCCATGTTTTTTGGAATGCATGTCAGGTTGCCGTCGACCTCCGCGATGGCCTGCATGATCAAGTGCGAGTTGTACCCTCTCAAATTGTGAAACA